TCTAGATTCTCTATTCTGTTCCATATATCTACATCTCTATTTTTGTGTCAGTACCATGCTGTTTTGATCACTATTGATTTGTAGTATAATCTGAAGTCTGGAAACATGATACCTCCTGATTTGTTTTTATTTCTTTTTTTAGACAAAGTCTCAAGCTGTCACCCTGGGTAGAGTGCTGTGGCATCACAGCTCACAGCAACCTCCAACTCCTGGGCTCAAGCGAGTCTCCTGCCTCAGCCTCCCAAGTAGCTGGGACCACAGGTGCCCGCCACAATGCCTGGCTATTTTTTGGTTGTAGCCGTCACTGTTGTTTTGGCTGGCCCGGGCTGGGTTCGAACCTGCCACCTTAGGTGTATGTGGCTGGTGCCTTAGCCACTTGGGCCACAGGCGCTGAGCCTTTGTTTTTATTTCTAAGTAATATTATTGGCTATTCAAGGTTTTTTTTTCTGATTCCATATAAAACAAAGTACTATTCTTCAAGTTCTTTAAAGTATGACAATGGTGATTTGATAGGGATTGCATTAAATCTGTAGATTGCTTTGGGTAGTATGGACATTTTAACAATGTTGATTTTTCCCAACCATGAGCATGGTATGTTTTCCCATTTGTTAACATCTTCAGCTATTTCTTTTCTTAGGGTTTCATAATTCTCATTATAGAGATCTTTCATATCCTTTGTTAGGTAAATTCCCAGGTATTTCATCTTCTTTGGCACTACTGTAAAAGGAATAGAGTTCTTAACTATATTTTTGGCTTGACTATTGTTGGTATATATAAAAGCTACTGATTTGTAAGTATTGATTTTGTATCCTGAGACTACTATATTCTTTGATCACTTCTAAGAGGTTTGTAGTTGAATCCTTGGAGTTTTCCAGATATAAGATCATGTTATCCATGAAGAGTGAGAATTTGATCTCCTCTGACCCCATTTGAATACCCTTGATTGCCTTCTCTTGCCTTATTGATGTCTAGCACTTCCAGTACTATGTTGAATAGCAGTGGTAACAATGAGCATCCTTGTCTAGTTCCAGATCTGAGTGGAAACATTTTCAATTTTACTCTATTCAATATGATATTGGCTATGAGTTTTCTGAAGATGTCCCCTATCAGTTTAAGAAATGTTCTATCTGAGCCTGTTTTCTTAAGTGTTCTAATCATGAAAGGATGCTGGATGTATCAAAAGCCTTTTCTGTATCAATTGATAGAATCATATGGTCTTTGTTTTTTTATTTTATTTATGTGGTATATTATATTTATAGATTTACATATGTTGAACCAACCTTATAACCCTGGGTAAAACTAGCTTGCTTCTGGTGTGTAATTTTTTGATGTGTCATTGAATTCTGTTTGCTAGGATCTTATTGAATATTTTTGCATCAATATTCATTATTGATATTGGTCTATAGTCTTCCTTCTTTGTTGGGTCCTTTCCTGGTTTGGGGATCAAGGTGATATTTGCTTCATAGAATGTGTTGGGGAGGATTCTTTCTTTTTGTGTGTTTTGGAAAAGATTATGTAATATAGGTACTAGTTCCTCTTTGAAGGGTTTGGTAGACTTCTGATGTAAAGTCATCTTTTTGGGGAGATTTTGTATAGTTGATGCTATTTCAGTGCTTGGTATAGGTCTATTCAAAATTTCTAACTCTTTCTGGTTGAGTCTAGGAAGGTGCTCCGCCATTTTTTTGATTCCTTTCACTGTAAGCCTAGCTTCAGCAGAGTCTGTCTAGCTTGCTTCCTTGCTGTGCCCAAAGCTAGTATATAGGCCCTTTTCTTTCTGAGGGTATGGCATTAATTAATACAGGGAATCCCTGCTGTGTGTAACAAGGCAGAGGACACAGTGGAGGTGGGTCAAGTATCCTCATGAGGTCTGCACAGTGATACTCCTTGGTCTACAGTGAAATGGAATGAAGTTTGACACTCAATAGGTTCTACTAGGGAGCCTTCTGAGGCTAGAAAAATGTTCTGTATCTTGATCTTGGTAGTGTTATATGAATATGCACATATGCAAAAATTCATTGAGGTGTACACCTAAGATCTGCACACTTTGCTGTAGTTGTCCCTCATTTCATGTTTTTAAAAGGTGGCACCAATTTGAAACTTACACAGCCCTTGCTTCTATGTTTTTGTGTTCAAGGAGTGTAAATTATTGAGTCTGAGCTGGATTCAAATCCAGGATATTCCTAATAGTTCAGAGAGATCTCCTAAATCATTATTCTTTTTTTCTCCTTGGAGGTTCTTAGGTTCTCATCAGGTGACAAGACAATAGGAGTGTATAGATATGTGTATACATATATATGTATGTACATGTATTAACTGCCAAATTAAAAGTATTTTCAAGTGGTAGACCATACACTGTGAGGTCCACAGTTTAAATGAACAGCTAAATGCAACTAGAGTTAATTGGGTCATATTTCACATGGACTTCTTTTGCTTCTCTTCCTTTTCCTTCCCCATTTACTCCCTTCCATGTTTCTCTGTAGTATAGGAACCAGGTGCAATGCCTCATGCCTGTAATCCCAGGGCTTTGGGAGACTGAGATAAGAGGATCACTTGAAGCCAGGAGTTCAAGATCTACCTAGACAATATAGCAAGACCGCTGTCTCTACAAAAAAATTTAAAAATTAGCTAAGTGTGGTGGTGTACACCTGAAGTACTAGCTACTTAAGAGGCTGAGTGGGAGAATTGCTTGAGCTGGAGTTCAAGGCTGTAGTGAACTGTGATTGCACCACTGCACTCCAGCCTAGGCAATAGAAAGAGACCCTGTCTCTTTAAAAAAGAAAGAAAATAGTTGAGTATCAGTTAATCAAAACAGGCATTTGGTAGTCTACTCCTGGGCAAATACACAGAATTAAAAACTTATGTCCAGAAAGTGAAATGAACATGAATATTTCTGGCAGCTATATTCCCAATAACCCAAAATTGAAAACAGCTCAAATGTTTATCAATAGTCAAATGAATAAAAATAGGAATATAATGAAATGCTCTACAGAAGTGGTTTTGAAGATCATTAAATTATTTTTGAAAGACGTTGAAAGCACAGTAAATATATTCTTTTAAAAAAATTCTTCTTTTTCGGTCAATACAATTTAAGTGTGCCACAGAAGTTTAACTATGGGTTCAAGTGTGACATGAGATTAAAAAATGTTGAAAAACACTGTTCTGCAGCAATGGAAAAGGATGAACTATAAGGGAAGCACACTATGTAGTTGATTTATTGCAGTCAAAAACAGGCAGAACTCATCCATGGTAATACAGTTCAAGATAGTGGTCACCCTCAAGGGGAACTGACTGAGACGGGGCACCAGGAAGCCTTCTAGGACTAGAAAATGTTCTGTCTTCATCTTGGTAGTAGTTATATGGATGTGCACATATGCAAAAATTCATTGAGGTGTACACCTAAGATCTGCACACTTTGCTGTAGTTGTCCCTCATTTCATGTTTTGAAAAGGGGACACCAGATTGAAAGCTATTGTCTAAGCCCTTTCTGTGTTTCTGTGTACAAAGAGCTTAAGGTTTTGAGAGTCTGCCCTTGATTCAAATCCAGGCTCTATTACCTATTAGTTGTGTATCTTGAGTGATTACTTAAGCTGTTTATGCTTCAGTTTCTCACTTTCATAGAAGGGAAAAAAAACAGTCTATTTTATAACAGTGTTCTAAGAATTAAGGCACTTAAGTGTTAATCAATCAGTCCCAAACTTAAGTGCACACACGGAAGTAAATCTCAATAAAAATCAAGGTGGGAGTGGGGGGAGGATGGAATGGGTAAATGCACACGGTCTAACTATAAGGGGTACGCTTATAACCTTTACTCAATTTATATAAAAAACAAAGTTTATAAACAAAAGAGGTGTAAATTTAGTTATGAAATTTAAAAAAAGAGTTAAGGCAGATAGTTCATAGGATGCTTCATACAATACCTGCCTGTTACATTTAATACACTCATGAAATAGGATATGGTGATTTTGTTTTTTCCCCTTTCTCCTCTGCCCATCTAGTCCTTCCTTATGATGTCTTTCCCGCCTCTTTTCACTAATTTATTCCTCCTTTCATTTCCTTTGTTCATAAGAGCTAAAAAATGACTTTAAAATGTATTAAATACAGTTTTATAGCTATATTTATAATTTAAAACGTGCACTTGGTATTTTCTATATCTCTCTTTAAAACAAACTCTACATTTCTTGAACTAAAATTAATGATATTTACTATGTCTGTGTGGTCCTCAATGGATTAACTCAGTGTTCCCAAACTTGTCTGTACATTAGGATCGCATGAGATCTTGCCTGCTCCACATAGCAGACCAATTAAATCACAATTTCTGGGGAAAGGACACAGACATCAGTAGTCTTTGAAGCTTTCCAGGTGATTCTATTATGATTCTAATTAGTAGACAAGTTTGGGAAGACAGATTAACCCATTTATGCTGGATGTTGAAATTTTTGAATATTTTGTATGACTTGTTGAGAAGCTGATTGCACACCAGTATCTGGACTAGTGACTAACTTTGTACACCACCACATGAAAACATGTACTCTCAGAAGGCAGACCTGCATGAAAAATCAGACCTTGGCGATGACCTTGAGCAGTAGGATATAAATAACTCCGAAGTCACTACCATTCCAATAATAAGACATGGATTATTAATGGCTTCCTATTCCTTTCATAATGTCTTAGCCACTTGAGCATGTGGTTCTGAATCTTGATTGCACGTTAGAGTCACCTTGGAATCTTCTAAACAATACTGCTGCTTGGGCCCCACCCTAAGTAAGGCCTGAATATTTCTGAAGTGCAACTAGCACAAAGAACCTTGTTCCTGAGGGATTGGTTTCATGGTAATCTTGTGATCAGAGTAACTCCAGCCTCTAAACCCATTGTTCCTTTTAAATCAAAATATGTTCTCTTAATGTTTTGGAAATTCCTATCCTTGTCCTCTTTCTGTTGTAAGTTGAATATGGAGATGAAGGACGTGATACTGATAAGTTTTTGGGTTGTTTTGCTTTCAGTATGGGATTGTGCTGGATGCAGGCTCTTCTCACACAAGTTTATATATTTACAAGTGGCCAGCAGAAAAGGAGAATGACACAGGGGTGGTGCAACAGATAGAAGAATGCAAAGTAAAAGGTAAGATGAAAAAAGGGAGAGAGAGTGAGGCGTGAACATGAGAGGTGTGTGGCAAGTAGAACATAGGAGTAAAAGGAGCCCCAAGTAAGGGGAGCCAAGTAGAAAACACAACAGAGCTGCTATTGTGGTTATTTTATTATCATTATAAAAATGATATTGAAATCAGTCCTTAATGATCAAGCCCTTGAAGAATAAGCACGTTTTAAAATAATTGAGTAATAGTAGTGTAGCAGGAAACTGACTCAGACAGAAGACTCCAGGCACCGGTTGATTAGAAGAAGCAGGTTTATTTGGCCGGGGGTACTCAGAACACCAGTGTGTTTCCCAAAACCGAGCCCCCCGACTCAATCTCTTGCCTCTCTTTTATCCACCTTTCAGGGTGGGAGTGCACATGAGGGTCATCAGACAGAGAGACATGACATCATCCTCAAGGTCCTGGGCTCAAGGGGGAAGGTCAGATTCACCCGCATCCTTGAGACTGGTTGGACCACCTGCCCCAAAGGCAACAGAAACCCAAGGAAGTTACTAGGTTACAATCTAGGCCCCAAGTATGTCGGGAGAAACACGCAGACAGCAGAAACACCTGTAGCTTGGCTGAAGCCTACACAGAGTGGCTGGGATAGATTCTTTTAGTTCTGCTTTTACTTTCTTGCCTCAGTAGCTTTCAGTGACAACCCTTCTGCCTGCCATGCACTAAGCACTGAGCATGTGTTATTTCAGTTCAGCCTCACAGTCTTCCTTTGAGGTATATACATACATGTTATATGTGTTTTTTTTAAATATATGTATATTACTATTCCCGTTTTTTTTTTTTTTTTTTTTGAGACAGAGCCTCAAGCTGTTCCCCTGGGTAGAGTGCCATGGCATCACAGCTCACAGCAACCTCCATTTCCTGGGCTCAAGTGAGTCTCCTGCCTCAGCCTCCCAAGTAGCTGGGACCACAGGCGCCCACCAGAACGCCCGGCTATTTTTTAGTTGCAGCCGTCATTGTTGTTTTGGCGGGCCCGGGCTGGATTCGAACCTGCCACCTTAGAGTTATGTGGCTGGTACCTTAGCCACTTGAGCCACAGGCCACTATTCCAAGCCACTATTCCCATTTTTTAAATGAGAGCACTGAGGTTGAGAGAGTTTGTATCACTTCTTTAAGGTTACTTGGCCAGTAAGTAATGAAGCTGTGGTTCAAACTAAGGTCTGCTCAATATCAAACCCATGTCTTAACCAGTGTTTCTTAAACGTGAGAGTGCATCAGAACCACCTGGAGGAATTGTTTAAACACAAATGCTGGTCCCAACCCTCAGAGTTTGTCAGCAGAGCTGGGATGAAGCCTGAGAATTTGCATTTCGAACAAGTTCCAAACTGATGCTGATTCTGCTGGTCCAGAGAATTACTGCTCTCTTAGTCTTTGCACCCTAGCCTTAGAAGATGTTTTTGAAAGGTTTTGGCTTCTGTGTAAGCAGGAAAGATCAAATTACACACTTTGGGGGCCAGGCAAAGGATCTTGAAGATCATTTAAATCTTTTTTTACAGAGAAGGATGTGAAAACCTGGAGGATTAGTGCCTTGTAAGCAGCAATAGAACCAGGACAAGAATCTAGGTCTACTAATTATACTCCAGGTTTCCTGCTCCTCTAAACTACTGCATTCCATATTCATTTTTTCCTAGTTGTTTTTCTCGTAAGGTCACAGTACAAATTAGAGCTATTGACAGTTCAACTTCCTCCACTCCCTCCACTCAATGGCAAACAATGCATTGCACTGTACCCCACCATGCAGCGACAAACATCGCATTGCACTGTACCCCACCATGCAGCGACAAACATC